TCACAGTCTAAAAAAAGAGTGACATTTGTATGCACTAGTAGTTACAACTGTATGGTACATGCATTGTATGTGTCGCGTAGAAGTCATATAGAACACGATACAACGTGATGATACTTTTATTGTTGAAATCGATAACAGGCGACAATATGTGAAATAGGCGATAAGTGGATGGAATCATTCTGGAAACTAAATAGAACAGAACAGAACATGCGCAGTTTTAGGGCATTGATTTATTTATAACACCGACACATCCACTACCTGCGCATCAGTGCGCATGAGCTCTAACCACAGATATACATAAATAAAAAAACTTCATTTTACATCACAAATAATTCAAAATATTCGTAAATTGTAGTCAATTATGTCTTAAAATATTATATAAATTTAAATAAAAGGTGCAATTTGTATATATTAGTTATTAATTAATTTGGATTTAATTATAATTCTGAAATTCACCTCATAAGTTATTACTCACCAGAGGCTAAATTATGAAACAAGCATGTTGCAATATTGGTTGTTCATTTCAAAGTCAGCTCTTATTAGATTACAATTTTCAACTTTTTAGATTGTCTGTTAATATTTTCTTGGTCGATATTTTGAAATTCTTTATACTATCAAAGTAAAGGTTTGGAGATTAGCGTCACAATATTCTCGTATAATCTATGGTGACCCCCAATAGAAGTAATGACATATATCACGAATAAACGTGAGATTTAAATAAATCTGATCTATGAATATCACGCATAATTATTAAAACTGACTTTATCCTCCATCTCCACCCCAGATGTAGCTGACACATTCACGACCAAGACTGAACTAGCATTGATATGTGTAATCTATTCATAAACCTTTATGATAATTCTGATACCTTTGGCGTTTCCTTGATATTTGGAATGTGAATTCATGCGTGATATGTTGTTTCCTTTGCGTGAAACACATGGTCTCAATAAACAACTTTTATTTTTTTTTTCACATTAGCAATGTAACCATGGCAGTAGTTTTGTTGCTGTATACAAATGTAAAAGCATGGTATACAAAACACCGTTTCTGATATGTATCTTATCTGAAATTATAGTCTAAAATAATAAAACCCTCAATAAAAACACACATGTTACATGCAATCTTATTTAGTTAGGAGAGTGCGAATAGTAAAATATTTTTTGTCTAATAAGACACGAATTATACACTTTCATCAAAAGTAATAAATAATGTTCAAATAATGGTTAAAGATGACCATAAATCCCCCAAAATCTTCCACACACGTTATGAAAATTACATGCAACTATAACAATACAATGAAAAATTCAAAATACAAAGAAATACGAAGAGAAAGGCATATAACGGATTCTAAGCAACATTTAATTTATTGCCCTGAAGCTCATATCCTAGAGTGTTATACACTTTTTTTTAATTTGCCACACCAATTTTTAGAAACTGTATCAAAAACCCATCCATAGACTTAAAGTGAATCTTCCCTAAGTCTATAGCATGACATTGAGCTGGCTGATTCAATAGTAGTGGGTGGAAGGTGTGACAATAATCACCCACCAACTGCTACTGTTCTGTGCTATACGATCAAATACATTCCTAATGCTCTTCTTTAAGATCTTCATTTCGTTTTACAAACATTATCAAATATTACCGCCTTCTTAACTCCTCGAATTTTTTCAACAGCTCCAGAATTTGTAGTCGAAGTCTTGCTTTGGCCTTGGCTTCGTCGATGGCCTAGTGAAGTTGATGAATAGAAAAAACAAATAAGTAACGTTTCCAATATATAGAAAGATTGATTAGATTATATTATACATATATACATAAACACATCCCACTAGCCAAACACGTTTCAATTGTCAATGGTTCGACACAACTCCCCACATGGGATGCTACATTTATTGGCCACGTTTACATCATCGACTACAATGAACGACTTAATCGTGTTTACGCATAATCTTGTATCAGGCTGTGTACACATGCCCCAGGTTATATTCTTCCTAATGGAATCTTAATATTTAATGAAAAATAATGATACAAATAGCAAGATTACTATAAGTACTTCAAAACATATCTCTTCGCCTATCGGGCTTATCACAAAAAAGATTCATAACTTATATTTGACTTTACGTCAGAAAACATACCATATTTACTTTTTATCTCAATATACATACGGGTTGTATTTTTATTTGTTACATACTTATTGAACGGAATAGATTTTTAAAGAATTGTAGCCATTGAAACTACCCACTTGTGAAAATACCCGGAGTGAAATTAGTACAGACGATTGCATCACGGGTATTCGACCAAAAAAATAGGATCAAATAATGACATTGTTTGTTTAAAAAATGTTAAATAACTGTTGATTTTGACACAAGTCGTCGACTTTTGTTTTCTATTATCCAGTATTAAAAACAATTTGGTGATATGTGTTAAGCTAATCAGCTAACATAATCAATACATTCTGGAGATAGCATCACACTGGTATTAAATGAAAATAACCGCGGATGTTTTGAAGGTTATCCCTCTCTATTAGGCTCACCACTCAATACACTTATATCAGGAATACGTCTTTACAAATGTTATTTATATTTTTAATAATTTTTAAACTGACACCACTTTTTAGTATATTGTTGTAGAAATGATAAAAAACAGAAGAGCACGTGACAAAGTTAATAAATATGTACGATATTAGTTAAGTGATATAGTGGATATATAGTAAGATAGGTACAGTTACCTCTTCTGTTGTTTCATCTTCTTCTGTAACTTCATCTTCTTCCGGATCAAATTCTGTAATCTCCGGAAGGTCTTCGTCATCCATCGGGAAAGCCAACATGCCATCTAGGTTATTATCGGCGTCATTAACGAGCTCATTAACCTCCTCATTCGCCTCCGCCGCCTCCGCCTCGGCAACTTCACTGTTTTCTTGTTTTGGAATGTCCGCTAATTCGTCGAATTTGTCAATAAATACGTCCCAAAAGTGGCTTGGTCTCTCGGCATTTTGATCCTCAACGTTCACATCCCCCTCAAAATCTCCATCCTGTACACTGTCCGAATAATCTTCGACCGAATCTAGCTTTGTAAGTGCCCTATCATAATCAGCCTCATCCAAGGCTTCGTCATACCTTCGTTGTTGATCGATGAAGGGCACTTCGTCCTCGTACGCCTGCACACGTTTCCCTGCAGCCGCGGCTGCAATGAGTCTGCCAAACATATTGTAACCAGCAAAAGGACCAACCAAATTTGGAATCGGGTCAACAGATGTTTTTTTGGACTTACGTGGATCACGTAAGTCTTCTTCTGGAAACCCTCCCCAGCCGATTCGACGATACTGGCCGCCATCCGGAATCGGACTGTCCGGGAATTCATCCTCCAAAGCACCATATATAGGTGGGGCATATTGTTCATCATACCCATCAGAATACGGGTTTGATTTCTTTACCAGTTGTTGAAGATCATCCCAGTCAAAGTCTTGAAACCCTCTCCCCTCACTAATTCCTTTCTTATTCACCACGTCCTGGTCCAATATTCCCGAAGATTTGGCAAAGGCACGTCTAGGTCTGTCATCCTTGAAACCGCCCCATCTTTTGCGAGTATCGTGCCTATTTAATGGCGAACCTTCGTCCAGCAAGTACTGATCTGCGGGCCCGAATCCTGCAAGAAACCATTACATTGATGTCGTTTCAAAGTCATTAAAAAATGATAGTTCTTGTTCCATTGTAATTAAATCCTAATTATAATCATACTCCCCTGGGTTTTTTTGGCATGAATATCATCGAGGATCACACTGTGGGGTCCATCACCCAGTACATGGTATGATATGTAAACTACCCGCGTTTGTAATTTGGGTTAGTTAGTAAATAGATTGAATCAATATCCCCTAGTGGGTGATTTTGTTTTGCCAACATTTCTCATCACACGGTTGGTTGATAAATATAGTTTACTGTTAAAAGGCGACAGTCGTCGTACCGCGTCCTGTTCGATATGGGACTCATAGCGACGTATACAACGCGTGTAAAATACATTGTTTATTTACATGAAATTCGAACACCGACGACCACCGCGCTTTAAGTTCTATCAATCATAGAATGCATCTCTGAATACATTTTAGTTTATTCCGCAGTTTTCAGCTGCAATATATGAACACATATACCACAGACTTTACATGCAATTTATCTTTCCAATAAATCTAGCAACTAAGTACCTCTGTGATGTCATAATGACTAAAATCATATATGTTGAAGCGGCGGGGTCGTTACCTGCGAACGCGCGCGCCGTCTGCCGCATGCGCAGGTGACGACTCCCTCGCTTTAAGTAGTTCGGATAAACAACCAATTTTACTAATGCAGTCATTTAGGAACGAAATGCAAACATCTAAAACACAGTTTGCTATTGACGGATGAGAACAGATGTGATATATATCGACTATCAGTGTCCCTTCAGCCATTATAATAGATATTAGGAGAACACCCAATTACGTCATAGTAGCACTCAGTCGCTAAATGGCGCTACATAAAGAGCAATGTATATATTAGCCCACAATGAATCTAGTGACAAAATTGTTTCTAACTTGCCACTGATGATTGCACTAATATTTGTTCAACCATATGTGAGAACTATCACCTGTAGTTATACATATATTGCTATACATTGCAAAACGAGATTTCCAACTGACGATTTTCACTGTATTTCGCTAATGTTGCTTAATTCTGCTATACTTTTACGTTCAAAAGTAAAAGTATAACATATTATTTTGTTTAGACAAAAAATGGTTTAATGTGAATATTTTAAAATACTAATTAGGTAGAAAATTTGAAGATTTACTGAAATTTTGATAGACTATATTCTTTTACAAAAAGTGGGAAATACAGAATAATGTATAATACAAAATACAGTGAATATCAATAGTTACAAATTTTGCTCCACACGAGCATGGCTTTAGAAAACTAGGAAACTGACAAATGTGTGTTGCATGGTTGCTATATTAACATATTTATGCGTCACGTGACAGGTGTACGTTCTCTCTCACGATTGGGTCACAGTCCCGCTATATAGGGACTGTGATTGGACAGATATTATTGGCACAAGCCAGCACACGTGTTTTCATTATTAAATTGGAGAAATTACATAACGTCTGACTGGTTTTAAAGCAAATAGTAAATAAATAACTTGATTTCCATACTTAGACTTTGGCAGATTATTGATGTATTCTTTAAAGGGGTACAACACATGTTGTGACCGGTTACCATGAACAGAACGGATTTTCAGTTGCAATTGGTGGCAGGTGTAATTTCATATTGACTTGAATATATGGCACGGAAATATTTGCTCGATTACATATGGTGAAAAACAATGTCTTGCACGGTATTTGTTGATGCTAAGAAGTTGTGGTCAATGGAAATTGCTGTTTTTTTATTCAATTTCTCGTGGAGCATTATAGACAGATTCTGACATTCAGTATTGCATGTATGACACTATAACTTGAAATGATCACCTTGCATTAACAATTCCCGTGATGCATCTTACCTGAACGGCGTCGGATCCCGGGTAAATCATTCTCAGTAGTGACGTAGTATTTAAAGAAGTCGTTCATTTTCGTTCGTTTAACTGGCGCTGCTTCATTTTCAAATTCGTCCCTAGGTTGGGAAAGTTCACTGATAAATTCTGCAAGTTTCTCTTTTAAAACTTCTCGATAAACCATGTTATACAACTCTTCAGCAACCAAATTCATGAATTCAGGGTCTTCTAACAAGCCATAGTCGAAAGGTGGGTATTCAGAGTTGTCATATTTGTATTTTTGGCGGCTAAGCAATTCTCCATTTTCCGGCCATTGTTCGTATGCTGGCCTCTCAGAGTCTCGCAGTGTTATCTCAACTGGTTCACCTGTGAAGTAAGTGAAAGATTAAATTATTAAAGGGCGGTAGTCGTCGCGCTGCGCATGTCCGACATTTGTGTTGATGAACATTGATTTTTCCACAATCCAATGCGCTTTTGTAATGAAATCACGAGTATGAGTTTTGACCCATATATCGCGGATGCGCGGCGCGACGGCTACCGTCCTTTAAAGAACATTACATTGCTACTCATTCACCTCATATGCGTTAGAAATGAGATGAAATAAGAGATATCTTAAACGTTTTTAATATGTATCACGGTGACACCAATCATGTTACTTATTCTTGTAATAATCAAATTTTTCACCATTCACAAAATTGACATTTTTTTTTCATTTTTTTCCCAAGACGTCAATCAAGACTGTGGCGGGAAAATAAAGCGTTCAAAAAATTCGTGAAGACACTCAGATCACGTACACCGTGGGGCAGATCCTTATTACCATTGAGCGGGGGCATATAAAGACACGATTCTACTCAGTGATAAAGAAACAGCATGAATCACGTAAAGAGATTATCGTGCACATATTTCTATAGATACAGCCCACGGACAACTTCTGACGTTAGATTGTAGACATTAGACTCACACCGGTAATCTGATCACTAGTATATAAATTGGTTGTAATTCACCAATAAAATATGTCGTGGTGGCGGATATGTGTAGGATGTGGCGTGTACGGTCGGTCGGGTGGTTCGGAACTCGTATATTATTCAAGCGGAAGTGAAGGTTTCTTAACCCACTCTTTATAGCATTGTCCCAGAGATTGCATTGCATTGTCCCAAACCGCAGAACAGCTTTTAAAATTTTATATAAAACATGTTATTTTTTTCAGGTGCTTTGGTCATACATGCTACATGCAGAATAGATCAGTTGAAGCATCCATGAGACATGAGATGCCCCAAATTTTTGCCCTTGCTGTCGAAAATCCAAGATGGCGGCCAAACCATGTGACCATATTATTTTCCCCATAAAGAGTTTTAGCCATGCATGCAAAATATCAAGTTGATCGGTTAAAGCACTTCTGAGAAATAAATACCCAGGACAATGGCATGAAAATAAGGTGACTGGTATAAATATTAGTTTGCTGTCTGAAGGAGTTCAGTATTAAGATGTAAAATGGCAAATTGCAAAATATAAAAGTCTACTTCATGTTAAAAAGAAATCAAACCAATCACAAATAGCTCCACAAACTTTAATGAGCATTATACATAGAAGCTAAAAAAAAAACAAATTTCAGATAAATGTGTTCAGTGGTTCTGAAGAAGAAGATTTTTCTTTTGCCATTTTCTGGAGAAAAAAACATGACGAAGAAGTCACATGGTCGCAAACATTTTATTCGGGAAATAGATAGCCCATATATCAATAATACTACTACAAAAATATCAGAATGCCGGGAACTCCAGAAAAGGTTCAAAATGACCACTTCCTGTTTCAGAAAAAGGAGAAGAAGAAAACAATAGGATTCAAACGGGTTTGGGCCCAAATCATCAAAAATCGAGCTGAATCACTCACGTAACTAAAGTGAACAAAATGATCAATACAAATGAATGGATGTTTACTATCCAGTTTTAAATTACATACATCAAGTGTGTATAATAGACGACTTGCATGAATCTTGGACATGCAGCAATATCGAACCACGATAAAAAATTTGTGTAGCAATTTATGTTTTTTGCTATTTGAAATAAACGATCCAGTTATTATAGGCAGTGAATATCGGTAAATGGTTCAATACAAGCAAAGTTGGTTGGCATATAATTAGAGTTGTAGTCAGTACAACTATAATGACCCTATTAACCTTACCACGGGAAATAATTCCACTTTACTTCGTGTATTAGGACCATGTCCTAGCTTTAACAGTATAATAGAAAATTACTAGTAAGTAAATAATTAAATCTAAATCAAATCTAAAATGTCAAAATAATAATAATAAAAAAAAACCCCACAATAGTAAGACTTGGCGGAAAAGCAACTGGTAATAGTTGTCTGAGATACAATTGTACAATCGCCCACGTCTTAGGTAGTTCGTTGGTTTCAAGTAATCTCGAAATGGAGTCATCACATGATTAAACGTGATATTTATCTCAATCCAAATATCACTTGCAAATAACGATCTTTCAAACAACGTTGTTTCAGACATTACCCAGGAACATGTCTAGTAACAAATATACATCTTTTGCACATTGAAAATAAACCTATTAAAGATGGAATCTGCGCACTGTTTTTTATCAGTTCTCTTGGTGGGATTGTATGTTATTATGAAGAACACCACTGTGTTGCCTAGTGAGTGATGAACTCACGCCTTACTTTGCCTGCCTTAGGGACAATTTCATTTCAATACAACATATTCTTGCCAAACACTCATGGGCCAGCAATGCCACTTTAAGTGGTGCGAATGTGAGAAAGACCATCTACTGACAAAATAAGCATTCAGAACAAATCTCGGACAATTGTTTCTTTGAGTGGAGCGTGACAGCTTTCCGTCAGTTTTATAAGCTTTGTATCATTAGTTTCTATGGTAACGAGTGTGAAATTGGGAATACATAAGATGTTATGGTGTCATACATAGACATCAATTTGATATTTCCAAGCTTGTACATGTGTTTTTAGTCGCAATTGTACGTTTACTAAGTATGTGAAGAATCGATTAAACTGTGTTTGAGAACTACTGCACTCAGTAGTAGTTTATCTTGCAATTATAAAGTCATCATCATATGGACATAACATAAGTATATAACATCGTACGACCTTGCATTTTAAAAATAAAATAAGATCATTCAGTTCAAAAATTATAATAATTTAAAAAGTGTAAAAAGCTTTATTTTTTTCTGACGTGGGAACCGTTTCTAACCGGCATTGGATGGGGAACCTCAGCTAAAATCGTAAACTGAAAATGTGTACATATTATGTATGTGTCTATCAAACCAAATAACATTTCTTTAGAAACTCTACATCTACAGTCTGTGAGGGCGTTAGCGATAGGGTCGGATACAAAAATAGAATAATGTGATAATAATTTGCCAAGTAGATTTACGTCATTACATAGTAACCAATTACGTCTTAAACAATTATGTCATAACCAATCGAAATCCTAATTTATAATTCAAAAATGGAAATTGCAAACGTAAGAACAGAAACAACATCCGAAGACAATACTTGAAACTACAATATCAGTGAATGTTTACAAAGATGTGTAGAACATGTCAACGTATGATAGTAGTTGTGTTTTGTCGGTATAAAAATAAATTAATAAGCTCCATAATATCCTTAGCGATCTCTTTGTTTTGATATGCGTGTTAAAATTGACGCTACTTGAATCCATCACCACGATAAAACATGTCAGAATTACTCGGTTTGATGTTATAGGAGCGGTTCCACTGGGAATTCACAGATAGAAAATATGGTACATCAATCCGCGTTAGATTATAATTGCCACATCAGTATAACGTCACGGTGTCTTCCAATCAACACTGGCGAAGATGAGACGTGAAACGCTTCATCATAAAAGTTATCTGTTCGGAATTCTGATCGTAATTAACACCACCCTAATAATCCGGACAACGACATAATTCAATTGTCGCTCTATCGTGAGCGTACTGGTACTATTTTCATAAACACGAGAGAATATTTCCAAGCACTGCCTCATCACAACATTAAATAGCCGTGCTGCAAAATCATGTTACGCCGTGGCTTTAATAATGTGTAGTTTGTATCTTAAAAATAACACATTCCCAATAACATGTTCTTATACAGCAGCGAACATCTGTACACTATACATTTATAACAAACTAAAAACATGAATCGTCTAAACCAGTTTAAATTGTCAAAACCAGTTAAATTGCAAAAATGCTAATTCTTAGGGTATAATTTGCATAGTTGCGCGTGTTTTGCGCATTAATGAATAAGGCACAATGACAAATATTTGTCGAATCATAAACGTATCAATATAATTTCCGATAAATAAACATTGATTTAAAAATAACATATGACAAATTAGCCAATATTATACAATGTTATTTTAATGTGATTTCATAAGATGAATCTCACCCATTATACGCATTTTTTCTGATTGCTGGTTTATTCAAAACGTGCCTAGCGTCAAAACATTTAGCTATAGCACTGTCGACACATGTAGGCGTATATTGCATGTTGGATGCGTATTTTCTAAATCTTATTTTCACTCTAGCATTTGAGACAAATTGTAGTTGAGTACAATGAGATGGGTATTTCATGTTAGGTGTAATCGTCAGAAAAATGAAGTGCTCGTACACGTACACTTTATATTATTCGCCACGAGCGATATCCCATTAAATATACATTTAGCACGTGTTTTCTACTCACCCACCAAGTGTTAATGATGACTAACAGGAAATGACGTCATTGAATGAATTGGCAAATGTCAGTCGAATTACTAAAATCAGATATATAGTTGTCACGATAGATAGATACAGTGGAAATTGCTCTAATTTAGAATTAATTAAACAAAATAAGATGTCTTTATATTCATTGTTTCATTACGACTTAATGATATCGAGTTTCCTTCAACAGTAAATCAAAGTGTGGGGTTCAATAAAACTGCGATGAGCAATATACGATGTCATGTCTTCTTCAGAAAACTCATCTTTCGACATAATTCACCAACGTGTAAACACCACATGACACGCAAGTGAATCATACTATACTGTATCTTCTTCAAACATCTACAGGAATCAAAACCTTCAAGAGCACTTTAGGCATTACTGTTTCTTAAATAGAATATATCTTGCGTTTTCGAAATTACCTACTAACATTTTACTTCGAAAGATAATCCGATTTTTTAAAGGTAGACACGCCTACTTTTTAGTGGTGAATTGATTCTTGCTTTTAGAGATATTTTTTTCTCTCCAAAATGCACATCATCATTCATCCATCCATTCACATAGACGCTTAATTTAAATGTTTGATGTTACCCGCTACGCACTTCGTTGTCTGTACACAAACGTAACCATCTCTCTGTAGGTACTACATGAACAATAGACTTTCCAGCGCGAGGAGGAATCTTCCAAGGACTTCTTTCCACTCGTACAGTAAGCCGCGGGCATATATAGTAATAAGACAGTCTACTTGACTGCGAGAAAAAAGCTTTTTGTGAATAATGTCCTCACTATTAGTTCGGACACGCTGAGATTGGAAATCGCGTCAGAGAAAGCATTCCACTAGGTCCTTTTACCTCATAAAGGAAAGCTCTACACTTTGGTTGTTATTAACATATTAGCTGTTCCTGAGAAAAGATAACTCAATAAACCAGAATTTGTGGCATTTACAAAAAAAAAAAACTTTAGTAGGCGATGATATTATTGCTACAAAGATTTGTATGGAGAATTCAATTAGCTTTTTATCAAGATATAGAAGGCGTGGAATATGGTACGATCTTAAAGATTATATTCAACGAGTCTGTCTTTGACGTTTTAATCACACTATATGAAGAATGAAATGATTTCATGGTCGCTACCATTATTAATTCATGCCTTTTAACCTTCCATATGAGGTATATATATATATATATAACTTATTCGCTATTACAAGCATGTGTTTTTAATTGCCGTAATTGATATTCTTACTATGACAATATAACGAAATACAGCAACGTAAGTTGTACAGATGCGTGTGAGCAAATACGACAATCATGTTGATGATCAGGGAAGGCCTAACAGTGAAATGCCCAATGTAGAACGTACTAACGAAACACCTTAGCATCGTGTTATCTTAGCCACTAGGGGGGTGTTGACGCGTAGAAAGCAGATTGACCAATGCTTAGCGTTCGTGGAAGTCAAAATCTCGGATTTACAGATTTCGATTTCATCGGCATTGTATAATTGTTCTATATATTGGCAAACATTAAAAAATTATTCTATATATGAGCGAACATCAGAAAAAATCAAAATAAAATGACGGTGCTTAACTGACCAATAGAAATGGTATAAATCGATCGTATAATTAATAATTAACAGCAAATTAAAATTACGTAAGTTTATAGCTGCCAAATGATTGAGAAACTCTCTAACGGTAACGCAAGCATGTTTGACAAGAGCGACGCAGCGGAAGACAAAACCTAGACTAAGTGCTTCTCTCTGTAAATATGTTTTTATAAAGTGGGGTGATGACAAATTCATCGAAAGACTGACCTATGAATGTTAATGAAAACGTAGTGTAACGTTAGGGATTTAGTCTCTGGGAATCGTAATAATGCTCCCAAACGGCATAATGTCAGTTTGTCGAACCTTCTTCGAACTCGATCAATTATATCGGATAATGTGGAACGTATTGCATACATATTTTGGTTTATAATTATTAATCAACTTTTAAAAAGATGCGCCCAATCAGTCGAATAGCCGACAATTGAAATATTGTGTAATTGTGTCAAAATGACAATCAATAAAGAAATATCCCGACATCCATTTTTATGAATGATCGTTTTTAAATTTCACCAGTTAGCATAATATCGAATAAAAATGTATTTGTCATGATTCGTTTTACCAAAATATTTTTTAGATAAAAAAAATCAAGCCAATTTCATGAATCACCCCAAACTTTTTGTATATATATATAATATGAAACGTATTACTGTAGAGCACGTTGAAATAGCTGCATGCAATTTAAGCGGATTTGACTCGTGGCATGAATTAACATAATCTTAATTTTGCTCAAATGTTCACTATCTCCCTGCGAGAATATACTTTCTTTTAAATTAGCTGCATCTTGAATTAGCAAAATTACAGATTAGCTAAAATAGCTAAAATAACATGCTAGCTAAAAAGACATGTTCTACTAATAAATGTCATGCTTATTTTAGCACGTGTGAATAAAAAGCTGCAATTCATCATAAAGTAAACAATTACGATCATCGTATATATTTGCACGTAAAGTTAATTTAGTTTTTCAATTGGCTTACTAAGACGGAAATTCGTTAAACACTTACCATACTCGTCGTTGAGCTGCTGTAATAAGCCTTCTTTCTCAAGATCATAGTTGTCAAGGGGGAATGGCATCGCGTATGTGTGAGCAAACAGCACGGCTGCCACCATACTCA